ATCTATCTATCTATCTATCTATCTATCTATCTATCTATCTATCTATCATCTATTTCTCAGCAGTGAGAGACGTGAACATTTTTCAGGAGTGGATGGTCTTGGAAGTTAACCCCAGGGTAGAACTGTAATGTCCAGTTTTTTTTTCAAAACAGTTTGAGAAGTAATATTTTGCTTTTTTTTTGTAGTATAAAATGACTTGAGCAGTCATTGACTTCACACACAAAGGAATTACTCAGTTGTGAATCTATCACAACTTTTACAATTCACAACTTTTTGAAATTTTATAACTAAACGTGGTCGATGGTGGGTCATGCACACTGCTGTTTCTGCATTTGGTTTAGATTTTGTTATATAATTATAAACCCAGTGCGATATTTCAGCTATTGCATGTGACAGGTTATATTCATCTTCTTTTCTTTATCCCAGATGTAAAATAGTGGGTTCTTTAAAAGTAAAAGTAAAACTTTCCAGATTTGCTCGTTATTAGCCACTATTTGCTGTTGTGCTTCTTTTCATCAACAGTGAGATGAGAGGTTGGGACTATTTTGATATTGGTTTAGGCAATATCCAACTAGCATTGTAGGAAAACAGACAAACTTCATGGTGGACCTAACAAACTTAAATCAGAGCAGGACATAGAGAATATAATGATGGTTAAAGAAGTGGCGCAATGAAAAAAATCTTACTTTGATTTAAGGACAACAGAACTGTGTCATCTTATACTTATAAAAGGAATCATCTGTGTGCATGCATGGCTCTTCGCAGTTCTATGTTTGTCAGAGAGATCTTTACAGGAAATTTAAAGTAAAATTCTGTGAATGTGTTTCACCGGTTTCAGGCGTTAGAGAGAGTCTTACTTTTCCCTCGACTCCCACCCCACAGTCAGCTTCCTGGATCATGCTGACATCGTTTCCTCCATCCCCTGAGAGAAGATAAAAGTCATGGACATGTGAAGATTCACAACAGCAACTCCCCAATGCCTGTCTGTGACGGTGCTGAATAAAAGAAGACTTTCTTAATTTGGCCCGATTATAGACTATAACAGATGAGCATTCTAAAGTTGAGACTGACTTGCATGTTTTTGGACAATGTGAGGATGCAACTTCGGGGAAACCCATTTACCAATTCAAATCAGGAACACCACACCACCTTACAGCGCATTCAGGATTTACCAGTTTAAAAAATGAATTGATAAAACATCAATTCAATAGTAAAATGGCATCATCTTTAACAGATTACTCATAATATTACATACTATTATGTTTATGGTGGGGGAGAAGGAAGTCAAGAACTATATTGGAAGACAACCCAATTCTCCTCTCCCCTCCAGAAAATGTAAAGGCTGAGCTACATACAAATTTGAATTTTCCCAACTTAGAAGAAGAATAAGGCATTTTGCCATTCTATTCTATTCTAAACTGGGTAGACTAGTCAATGGAGCATACCAGTTGGTTGCTAACCATAATGGATGTACATTTAGGCTCGATGCAAACCAGAAATATACGATGAAAAATGTGGGGAAACATGCAGTTAAAAAGAAACAAACATTAACCTGAGCTGTATACACTGAATATCTCCAGGAGATAGCAAATACACCGTCTCTGCTGCATACTCACCCACAGCACAGGTGAGTTTTCCGGTGCGCTCCTGCAACAAGCGGACTATTTGTGCCTTTTGAGTCGGGGTGCACCGGCAGCAAACCACAGCGGGACATTGACACGCAAGCTCCATGAACTCATACTCGTAATATTTTAAACAAACCTGAAAGGAACCAAGCAGAGCAGATGGGTGAGGAACTTAGGCCACTGCATTTAACGGATGTTATCTGTGGGTCTCGAACGTCTAAGCTTAACTTACAGTTTAGCTCCAAATGTGGTTTAGATAGGGACTCTAACCACATACACCGCTTTCATATATGATACGGTGGATGGGATAATATCGTGTATCACACAAAAAAATGTCGGTTTCATAAGTGGGGTGAGGAACACACACCCGGGCTTACTTACTTCAAGCGAGTCCCCTGATATCACCAGAGCACAGTCATGTTTTCTTCTGAAAGCGTTAAGCTCCAGGTGGGCTTCCCCTCGTGTTGTCACCTATGGCAATACCAACCACATTTATAAACGAACACACATGCAAGCATAGACAAAAAAAACACACAAAGAAAACTTCTCAGTGATAGCCATCTAACAGTATGTCTGTTCCCTGCTCTGGTTTTTAATCAGACACAAAAAAAACGGCTAGTTTGCCTGCTGCTTTAGAGTTGGTAAATGATAGTCATCAAACTCTTGCCAAGATTTTTCAACAACCCCTATTTCAATATAACATCGAAATAGGACATTTATTAATTAATACCAAAAAGTTGAGCTGAATACTTTTCTTATGTCAGTATACAGTACAATATCTTAAGGTTGTCCTTTACATTTGTATCCTGTAATTTCAAAATGAGTTGCATTGTGACCTGTAAAATTATTTCTAATTAGTCATTTAATTATTTTTAATCATCAGCGGTAGCATGTTAATGTTTAATTACCAGCGAAGCATGTTAATCCTCAAAACCCTAGGGGCACGCAAGATCAGAATCAGTCCAGTAAAGTGAGTTCATGAACACAGGCAAACATGGTATTAAACTGAATTCTATAGGCTGTCTGGAATACAATATATAAAGAAAAAGAACTTAATTTTTTCAAAACAATTAAGGAAAGTTTCCTATCTTTTGCTGCACCACACATACAGGCCCCACCCAGCTAAACTGAGAGTGAACTGTGTGTTTAATAAAAAAAAAATCTGTCCACATTTTGTAATGTCGGAGCATCTACAGTTAACTGCAGCCCCTTTACTGAAAAATCAGTGAGCTCGTTCGCCAATGCTGTGTTCTTACAAATGCCAATCACTACTGAGGCTAGTAAAAAGCTGAGACAATTGCACTCAAATTTGATGAGAAACCGAATGCCAATTAAATCAGTTTCTCATTGGACTTAAAAGCGACTTCTAAAGAGTATTCAATGAGTTTCTCTTTAGCGTAAATCAAACTCTTACTTACAGAAGACAGAGGGGTTTGTTTGCTTTATGGGAAAATGGGCTTTGCTAATCTGTAAACTTTGAACATAAAAAAAAGAAAAGAAATCATCTGCTATTGGAGACCTGTCCGGGGTGTGCCCCGCCTATCGCCCGTTGTCCACTGGAATATAATCTGGCCGCCTCCCCCTTGACCAATTTGGAATAAGTGGCATTGAAAATGGATGGATGAAAAAGAATTCATGCAAAAAAACGTATCTAATCAGTTCAAGTGAAAATTTTGACCAAATATCTTACAACTGTGTAAACTACTTTCAACATGTAACCATAACTATTTATGTGAAGAAAATTGTTTGTTTATGTCTTTGTTTATGTTTTAGTAATTCAATATAATGCAAATACAATCTGCATACAAAGATTCTCAGATGTGAAAAATATCAATTGAAAAAAATGTAACTATAACTTTTTAAATATGGCAAACAACAATTTGAAAAAGTTATCTTTTCTGTAGAGGGTCAGTAATTACTGAGGACTGGATAGATGGTAACGTAATTAACAAATATGTTCTCTTTGATAAAATGTTTTGAAAAGGGAAATATCAAGAAGGAAAACATACTGCTTGAAATATTCCTTACAATTCAAACTATTCAAAAATAGACAAAAATTCTTCAAATATGTGGAGCTGAAAAGACATGGTATTAATGTGTCAACAAGAACCATGCTTAGCATGAACATCCTTCAACTGCTGACTATTCATACGTCAATCTAAATCAGGCCATCGGTTGCCACCAGGAAACTAATCCAGATGTATCTGCTGCAGGCCTAGTCAGCACTCCCCCGTCCGTAGGGACATCAGTTTTCAAGCTGTGCCAGCCATTGTTATTCCTTTCCAGTAATCACAGTTGTACGCAAGTTGTAACCTTCCTATATGGCAGGCGCTCCTTCTACTCTGGCACTTTTCCAGATAGGAAGCCGAATGGGGAAATATCAAAGCAGGTAGAACGCCTCAAACCTGCAAAACAAATTAGGAAGTGAGCCCTTTGCATGTTCCCTCTGGGAGCGGCTCAGCTGGTTTCTCCTTTCTGTTTGAGCAAAGGGGGTTGTTTGTTCTCATTGTCAGTGGCTTGGATACTTTTGCGGGTGGGAGGAGATTGATTTAGCTGTGGATATTGGCTTCGGCTGCATGCGCAGTGCGTTGGGCTGTTTGACCACTTTCTAATGGATCAGATATTACAGTGCCCGTGTAATGACGGTGTCAAAAAACTGGACTGACATTAAAGGCTATTACATCCTCTGCAAGAGGCGACACATTATGCAATTTTGTTCTAGCAGCCCTGGTTTTGGAGTTCAACACATCATCTGGACAGAAATTTTAGGAACAGAACTGTTGTGTGACTGGTCAGATGTTTGGAGAGGGCGTGATGACCTCTCAAAGCTGATATTTGGTGTGATGGCCAGCAGAAAACCTCAATAATTTGTGTGAATGCTTTCTTGCTGAAAGGTGTATTTTGCAGAACAATGTTTGGCAAAATGACTGACCAACATCCTGATCTATGAAAAGTGTCTTTCATGGTCCATCTCACACATTACTATTTGCCAGATTCAACTCTAGCAGTACTGAGCGAACAAACACACTAAAAGTGTTAACTTGTTTTCCCCCCATTTCTCAACCATCTTGGATGAAAACAACAAATGCTCTTCCTCTTCTGTCTGTGACGTATGCTTCAGTGGGCAGGACATTCTGGAGGTCCGGCAGCTGAATGTCTCGTGAAGTGTGAAATGTCAGAGCCCAAAAAGACTTTTGTTCTTATTCTTGCCATCTCGAGAACAAGAATAAGTTGCTCGATTTTCACTGAAGAGTGATTTTTCTGGACTTACCGGTCTGAAAATATGGATGTCCTGATTGCGGGTGATCAGATGGGCATTTTTTGCAGTGCATGTGGCGGTCTCAAGCTTGTCTCCTGTCAGCATCCAAACCTACTCAAAATATGTTAATATAATATGTTAATTTATATATGCACTATGTACAGATACAAGGACTAATTTAACTTATATGAAAGAGTAATATTCTGTGCTTGAGGAAAAATATTTATGTAAGTATCATAACTTAACTTAAACTGATAAACCAAATGCATTTTTAGTCTTGAAAATAAGTAGCTGGTTTACCAAGTTCTGCTTTTCTTGATTTCATTATTTTAAATGCTTTCTTAATTCTGTAGTTGATACGCTCAATCATACCCCCCTGTGTCCAAACCTTGATGCCTGCATTGCGGAGGATCTCTAGGGTGGGCCTGACATCGGTCTGGAGTTGGTCCTCAACCCCAGTCAGACACAACAACTCCATCTCCATCTCCAGGCTCTCAATCACGGTGGCCACTTTCAGGGAGCGGTCATGGACGCTGAGCTTGGCTTGGACATAGCGTGCCTTTGGTGTACAAGTATTAGAGATTAGAACAAATATGCTAGAATCACTGCAAGATTAAACAGAAAACAGTCCACGAACAGAAAATAATATTAATCTGTGCACCAACTGTGTGGGCCATAACAAACTTGGGAGAAAACAATTAAAACCAAAACTATAGGCGTCTTCTACAGTGAGTATCCTTAAGTCCCTATAATAGATAGATAATTAGATGTTGATTTCTATGTACCTTAAAAAAAGGCATACACATTCTTTATAGGACCAATAAGAATCGCACAATGAGAAAAAAAACTTCACAACTTTCACCAAGTTGTGACAAATTTCACAAAACTGTAAACACTGAAGAGACATAATCAATTGGTCAACGCCCATCTCTAACGCTACAGCTCCAAGGCCCATAGTGAGTGAGATAAAGCAAAAACAATCTGCCAGTGACTCACGCAGGAACACAAACTTGTGTGTGACTCAGTTGGTGACTCACTGCTGCCCACCAGCTCTGCTCACTCAATTATACACTTCAGTAATGTGCCGGGGGCTAACAACTGCAGGGGAGACGGCCCTGCCCAGCTCAAACAATAAGATAGGCCTTGTGTGTGTGTGTGTGTGTGTGTGTGTGTCTGTGTGTGTGTGTGTGTGTGTGTGTGTGTGTGTGTGTGTGTGTGTGTTCTCAGGTAATCAGACTGACCTCCCTCCAGCCCTACCATACCCCCCCTCCCTCTCCCACAGACA